ATTTAACATATTTTGGAATATCCAAGGACTTATTTGTTCCAAAAAATTGTTCAAGGACTTATTTAACATATTTTGGAATATCCAAGGACTTATTTGTTCCAAAAAATTGTTCAAAGACTTATTTGTTCCAAAAAATTGTTCAAAGACTTATTTAACATGTTTTGGAATGTACAAGGACTTATTTGTTCCAAAAAAAAGTCTAAGGACTTAATCATTCCAAACAAGAAAGTCCATTGGTTTTTATTGTATTTTTCCCATACATATATCTTAGACCATATCTAATGAGATACCTAATTTAAACCAGATACCAAATTTGACCTTAAAGCACTCCAATGGAGACACCAAATCTTGCACCATTTTTTCTGTAATAAATCTAAACAACAACTACGATACATAATGTGAAACCTTTTTAATTTGGAGAATTTTCTAAAAATGATTACTTTGAAAATAAAATTGATTTTTTTATTCTTTTTAACGAGAATCTTTGAAATTAAACGTTTGAAATAGAGAAATATTACTTTATTAATTGCATTGGATATTTTAATAATATAGTTAATGTTGGAGGGTTGAGTTATGGTAAGAAAAATAAGAAGGGGTCTTCACCTTTAGATCAATCATAAATTGAAGATCAACAGTAATAAGATATACCGAGATGCACCAGATCAGTTTTGGTATCAAGCGTGATTCATGGAGTTGGTGTGAGATTAAAAGTGATCAAAGGTCCAGATCCCTTCTTATGTTTCTCATTTTTAACTTTTATTCTCATACGATCCTTCGTATAATGTTGTACTCTCCAAAATAGAGAAAATATAATTTTTTCTGTAGATTTTGATTATCCATTTTAGAGATATAATAGAGAATATGTTGAAAATGCTCTAACCAACTTTTTTTTTATATAGAGGGGGGAGGTCCCTCCTATCAAGAGAAAAAAAAACCAAAAACGTTAAAAGCAACAAATTAAGCACTCCGGTGGGGGCGAACCACAAGCTCTAACCAACTTTAAGTCACATATATGACAATTGTTCAAATTCTAAATGACATTTTGAGTTTATAAATAATAAACACAATGTTTAAAGATTTTTAATTACAAGAAATAAAACTTTAAAACATTCAAATACCCAAACAAGAAAGTCAATAATATTATCACTTAAAAATCAATATCTATGTTTATAAATAATTAAATAAATCAGTACCATGATACGTGACTTTTAATATTGTGTACCAATAAAATTTACAAACTTGGTACGATACTATTAGTCGATTGTATTTGGTACCAATTAATTGATACGATTGGTACTAGTGTTAGTTGATCCGGTTTAAAACACCCTTACAAATCACAAAAAGTCAAGTAACCCCCAAACTTATCGAAACAGTCCGAAGGGCTGATCATTATTCAGCCAACAACTGTATTCTTTCTCATTCACCGGTCACCGTCTCTCTTGTTCATCTCACCAACCCCCCATCGATCTCTTTCAATAAATCTATATAAACAACCATCGCTTTACTCTCTTACTTCCTCTGATTCTCTCTCTACCACCAACCATGGCCGCCTCTTCTTTTTCTCTCTCTCAAGCCGCCACCGGAATCTCTCGCTCCGCCACTCCCCGCCATGGCACCACCACCCAAAACCCATCGTCTATCTCCACCGTCTCACTCCCATCTTTCTCACCCCTCAAATCCACCTCCACTCCTTCCTCGATCCCCGTCACCCAACGCCGTGTGTCCGCCGCTCGCCGCCGTGTCATCTCGTCGGCTGCGGTGGAGGCACTCGAGAAGACTGATACCTCACTTGTGGATAAATCTGTGAACACGATCAGATTCTTGGCGATTGATGCCGTTGAGAAGGCGAATTCCGGCCATCCTGGTCTCCCCATGGGTTGTGCTCCGATGGGTCATGTTTTATACGATGAAGTCATGAGATATAATCCCAAAAACCCTTATTGGTTCAATCGAGATCGCTTTGTTCTCTCCGCCGGCCATGGATGCATGCTCCACTATGCCCTCCTCCACCTCGCCGGCTATGATAGTGTCAAAGTAAGCAATTTCAATTCCTTTTTTCTCTTTTTCCGATCTGGGTATTTCACAAATCCATTTAGTTTCTTCTCTAAAAGGGGATAAATTGGATCATACATGATACACACATATATATACTATACATATATATACACACACTATATATATTTGCGGTATAAACAAGCAATTTGACTTGATTGTGGATCTGGGGTTTTGATTAGTGGAAGATATTTGTATTTTATGCAGCAATTTATGTTCTTTGATTGAATCTATTTGATCATTTGCATTCACAAGTTGTTTGATGGTTTGACTTCTGTTTGGTATCTGCTATTGGTTTGAGCTTGACTCCATAGGTTAAAAGTACCGGGAGGTCCAGGTTCAAATCCAATGAGGAATAAAAATCCTCTTTGGCCACGGAGGTTCAAGTGCGGTGACTCCGGACTATCTGCAAAGCAGATGGTTGTCCTGGGATTAGTCGGTTTGCATAGCGGGTTGGATATCCAGGTTAATAAAAAAAAAAAAAAAAGATTGTATTTTTATGTAAAACTTAAGCTTTTTAAGCTAACCTCTTTGATCATCTCTATGTGTTCATGTTGTTTGAAGATATATACAAGTAGAGGCAGCTTTAAATGAGAATCGTAGATGTTTTGAGAATCGTGGAACCAACTATTTCATGAATTATTCACGATGAATAACTCAAATATTCATGATATTCATCATGAATAATTGGTTCTTTTCAAAATATGTACATGTTTAGGATCTGGGTGTTCTCTTGTAGTTGGGAAAATCGCATTTTTTTGTGTGTGTGGAGACATACAAACAATTGTACATAAGTTTGGGCACGATTTTAAGTTCCTTCGCTATACTCTGTTCCGGGTATTTGCTAAAGGGAAAGAAATATATATTTTACGGCATGATTTGAAGTTCTTTAACCGTAGTCCGATCTTGGTATATGCTTAAGTGGAACATCATAGTGTATGTTGGGACGGAATATGACTGGCGGGACTAAGATAGGCAGGTTAAAGAATTCTGGAAGGTTCTAGAGTCTTAATTTGGCATGGCAGGACAAAAAGATGCTTTCTCTCACCAAGTCTCATCCTGTCCCAGTCTAATAACACACCAGACGTGGGACAGATTTTTGTTCTGTACTGTTATGTCCCGTGTACCAAACGTACCTAAAGCACAATCTTTGAGTTCTTTCAATAATATCTGATTTGGGTATTTGCTTATGTGGAACAAAATTGTATCTTTGTGGCCCAATTTTGTAAGTCCTTTCACTTGATGTGCTTTAGCGTGTGTCTTCGTGTGTGTATGCCTCCAGGAGAACCGAGTGGCCGCTGCTGGCCAGTTAAACGAATGTAATATTTGAATCAAGAATGTTAGAGAGTAGTCGTTCCTGCAAATTTGTTAGGTGTTTGGTGGTGGTGGATGAGTTTATCGTATCCATGGTCTTGATTTTGTTTGATTTGTACCATTTTGGCTATGTTTGTCAAACTAGCCGATAAGCTAGTCATGTTTGGTTTGAAAAAAGCTAGTTGATGAGGTAGATGATAATGTAAAATGACCTAAAAGGACATGTTAAAATTAATTGGAAAACTATAAAGGGACATAATTGGAAAAAAAAAGGAAAAAAAGACCCTGGAGGCTATTGAAACGCTACTTGAAGTAGCTTTTCAAAAAGGTAGCTTATGGCTAACCAAACAGGGCTTTTTCATTAAGCTCAAAAAATATGGCCGTTATCTTTGATAAGAGTTGTTTTTTTTAATAAAAAGCATATATTTAGAGTTTGGTCTGTATTAATGGTTAATGTTTCTTTATCGTTTAGGAAGAGGATCTTAAGCAGTTCCGGCAATGGGGAAGCAAAACTCCCGGCCACCCGGAGAACTTTGAAACCCCCGGTATCGAAGTCACTACTGGTTAGTGCTCTTCCGAGAGAGAAATATAACAGAAATCTTGAAAATAATCTTGATTTCGCTAACCGTTCTTCAATATCTTTCAGGTCCTCTTGGTCAAGGCATTGCCAATGCCGTTGGTCTAGCACTTGCCGAAAAACACTTGGCTGCTCGGTTTAACAAACCAGATGCCGAGATCGTTGACCACTACACGTAAAATCTCGATTTTCTTTTATCTATTCTTCTGTTAAACGAGAGTGTCCGAGCCCGCTTGCACGCATCTCGACTAATCCCAAGGGACCCTGAAAATAGCAGTCAGGAAAATCCGGTCGAGCGGGCCCTAGAGGTTTATTTTCTTTTGTCTTTCTGGTACTGAGAAAATACTCTTATTTTGCTTCAGATATTGTATCATTGGGGATGGTTGTCAAATGGAGGGAATTGCAAACGAAGCTTGTTCACTTGCCGGTCACTGGGGGCTCGGGAAACTCATTGCGTTCTATGACGACAACCACATTTCCATCGATGGTGACACCGAGATTGCTTTCACCGAGAGTGTCGACAAACGTTTTGAAGCCCTCGGGTGGCACATCATCTGGGTAAAGAACGGGAATACGGGTTATGATGAAATCCGTGCCGCGATTCAGGAGGCGAAGTCCGTAACCGACAAACCGACTTTGATCAAGGTGACAACAACGATCGGATTTGGTTCACCGAACAAAGCGAACTCATACAGTGTCCATGGAGCCGCTTTGGGTGCCAAAGAAGTAGATGCAACCCGACAAAATCTTGGATGGCCGCACGAGCCTTTCCATGTTCCCGAGGATGTGAAGAAGTAAGTGAAATACAACAAATACGAAAGGGAATTAAGTCGTGTTCGACCAATTGTTGACTTCCGCTTTTAATTTTTGTTTTGTATATAGGCACTGGAGCCGTCATACTCCCGAGGGGGCGGCTCTTGAAGCCGAGTGGAACGCGAAATTTGCCGCATACGAGAAGAAGTATGCCGAAGATGCAGCAGAGTTGAAGTCTATTGCCGATGGTGTTCTACCTGCTGGTTGGGAGAAAGCTCTTCCCGTAAGAATCTTGCTATTCACACCCTTTTGAAATCCCGGGTTTTTATGAAAATTTGAATAAATTTGTCGGTTTTTGTAGACATATACGCCCGAGATTCCCGCCGATGCCACTCGAAACCTCTCGCAAGCATGCCTGAACGCATTAGCACCGGTTCTTCCCGGGCTCATCGGTGGAAGTGCTGACCTGGCGTCTTCCAACATGACGCTGATGAAAATGTTCGGTGATTTCCAGAAGAAAACTCCAGAAGAACGTAACGTCCGGTTCGGAGTCCGCGAACACGGTATGGGAGCCATCTGTAACGGTATTGCTCTACATAGCCCCGGCTTCATTCCTTACTGTGCTACTTTCTTCGTTTTCACCGATTATATGAGAGGTGCGATGCGCATATCGGCTTTATCTGAAGCTGGGGTCATCTACGTGATGACCCACGACTCGATCGGGCTGGGTGAGGACGGACCCACCCATCAGCCCATCGAGCATTTAGCCAGTTTCCGGGCCATGCCCAACATTCTCATGCTTCGACCCGCTGACGGAAACGAAACGGCCGGAGCATACAAGGTCGCAGTCGAAAGCCGAAAGCGACCGTCAGTTCTCGCCCTTTCCCGACAAAAACTCCCCAACTTGCCCGGGACCTCCATCAAAGGAGTCGCAAAAGGCGGGTACACGATTTCCGACAATTCCAGCGGAAACAAACCCGATGTCATCTTGATCGGAACCGGTTCCGAGCTCGAAATTGCGGAGAAAGCTGCCGATGAACTCAGAAAGGACGGAAAAGCCGTTAGAGTTGTGTCGTTCGTATCGTGGGAGCTTTTCGACGAACAATCCGATGACTACAAGGAGAGCGTTCTTCCTGCCAAAGTGACGGCTAGGGTTAGCATCGAAGCCGGAACGACTTTTGGGTGGGAGAAAATTGTCGGAAGTAAAGGAAAGGCTATCGGGATCGATAAATTTGGCGCAAGTGCACCAGCCGGAAAGATATACAAGGAATATGGTATTACAAAAGAAGCTGTTATAGCAGCAGCTAATGAAGTTTGCTAGGGTTCTTCAAGTTCGGGGCCCATGAAACACGAGAAAACTTCAGTTGTTCGTGTTCAATAGCATCGTTAACGATTCAAAAAACAATAAAACGAAGAACGGAGAGATCGGTAGTTCGTGAATTATTGAATCTTCGTGAATTTTGTATCGATACTCAAAGAACGTTTTTTAGATTTATAATTTCGTGTGTTTGATCATTTGACGAGATGTTTTGAGCGATGAATTTGTTCGGGATTGGTTTTTCGTTTCAAATAAATTGTCGGTTTTGCGGAAACGCCAAAAGGAGTACGTGTTTGTTAGAATTTAGAATCGGGTTTTTCGAACAACATGGTTACAACCGAACCAAATCAAACCGTACCGTTGTAATTTATGGTTCTTGTGTAAGTAAAATTACTGAAATACCCACAATTGAATATGCATATGAGGTGAATAATTTAACAAGAATATTATCATAATTTGTTAATGTACTCTGAATCTATGGGATTTGATATAACTTGTGAATACATTATAACTATCAATTAAACTGAACTTAAACATATTATTTGTGAACACCACAATAAGGAATTTCTTAAGGTTGTTTACATTATGTGTTAGGACTGAAAGTCAGTGTAAAATTGTATTTATCTTGAAAGTTTATTTTGTTTATAATTGTATAAAAGTCACCGTATTTGACTTTTATTAAATAGTTTGACTTTGACATTTGTCTAATAGTTTGACCCTATGAATAGGGTGAGTTCTTGTAATTGTAAGTAGGATGCTCAWTGTAAATTCATATACGTAATAGAGAGTTTGACTAGACTTTGAAGATATTGACTTTCTCTCTCAACTTCTCCTACATGTTCTTGATTGTAAATTCAGATCTGCCATAGATATTGAAGCTTTATTGAATATTGATCATTGTTAGGGACTACAATTGGTATCAGAGCAGATTTGCAGGAAATTTGTTTGAAGAAATCATCAAGAGTTGTTGAAATTTCTGAAAATTCATGATTTTATATTCTTGAATGTTCTTAACTATTTTTCATGAATTCTTCTTAAATCTTTCATTCTTGGATATTTGATTGTTAAAATGATGATCGTTGTGTACGTTTTACATAAAGATTCGTTGTTACTTCTTTGATTTTGAATTTTGATCATCGATAGTTGAGATTTGAAGAGTTTATAAAATTTTGATATTCTTGATGTTTATGTAAAAACTCATCAAAAAGTTAGAGTTTGATCCAATCTTTTCTGAGTTTTTGTAAGTTTTTGTGTTTGTGTGTTATTCTGATCCTTGTTTTGAGCGATTTATTCTCATCCAAGTAAATTTCTTGATCGGATAAGCAGTTATTTGTTGAGCAACGTGAGCGGATTTCAGTACATGAAGCAGGCGAATTTTTTTTTATGCAGTGAGTGGTTTATAGTTGTTGACAGGATAAGGAACAGCTATTTTCAGCTTCTGTTGAGCGGTTTATTTTCTCTTATAGTGATCTGTTTGAGCGATGTTTGACCAATTTAGTTGACTCTGTTGTGTGCCAGTGAGCAATTTAAGCTCATCTGTTTGAGCTGTTTAAGCATTGTGGGTTGTTTGATAATCAGTCTTGATCATTTTAAACCCAGTTTATCTCCATGAAGTGAGCGATATTCATCCTTGCTTTGCTAGAGAGTTGAGCGATTAAGATTGTTTAGTGAGTGATCTAAAACTGTCTTGAGCGGATTAAGAAATTATGCAGTAAGCGATTTAAGACTCCACTTGTCCGTATTAAGATCAAGCTTGAGCGACTTATATTAGAAGATGAGCGATTTATATCAACTAGTTAGCGAAAGTGACTGAATAAGGATCATAGTGGTGAGCGAGTTACACCATGCAGTGAGCAGTTTACTTCTTATAGTAAACGATTTAAAGTTGTCTTAACCAGATTAGGAGCTGCATTGAGCGATTTAGAGAATGCATAAGTTCTATGCTGTGAGCGATTTAGATCCATGTGTTATGCGGTTTAGACAGTAGCTTAACCGGATTAATCTTGGTCTTGAACGATTTAGCTAGTTATCTGGCTTCCCTTGAGTGATTAAGTCATGGCTTTGAGCAACTTAGATAGCATGCAGTAATTGTTTCAAGTTCATGCAGTGAGTAGCTTTCTTAATGCAGTGAGCGGATAAGAATCAACAAGTGTGTGAGCGGTTTAAATACTAAGCAGTGAGCGATTTTTTTTTCTCTTGAGCGAATATAGAGAGACTGTAGTGAGCGGATATGAGTATACCTTGTTGACTGGTTTTATATCTTAGTCTTGAGCGGATGTTGAGTGGATAAGAAGCATAGCCTGTGCGATGTTCATGCAGTGGTGATCGGATTAGAAACTAGGAGGTAAGCAATTTATCTTGAGTGAGTTTTGAGCAATTTAAACCTGCAGTTGACCGGATTCAGGATCTGTTTTGAGCGAGTTTGTGATACCTTGCTTATTTGTTGAGTGTATTAAGATAGTCCTGTGACTGTTTTTAAATTCATGCAGTGACCAGTCTTGAGTGATATTTTTTTTTGCTTGAGCGATTTATTTGAGTGGGTAAAGGTTGGTTTGATAAGTTTGATTGTTTTAGAATCTGTTTTGACCATTGTTAAGAGGCTTATTTTGACTGGATTTTGAAGTCAGCTTTGAACAGTTTCTTTCATAAAGCAATATATTTCATGCATGTGTTCATAATAAGTTGTCAAGATTAAATCAAAGTGTCAAGTTTGTCATTTTTTTAAATTCTTTTGATTCATATTTCTTTGATCATTTTTCTTGAACTGCATAGATCCTATATCTGATCAATCTTATTTTTGTTTAAAATGGCAGATATTTTTGAGGAGGAGAATAAAGTGTTGAGAACTCAGATTTCCATGCTGGAAAAGAGTATAGTGGACTATAAAGACAAATACATAAACATGTTTACTGAAAATGATGCTAATGTGAAACTTATTGCAAGTTTACAAAAAGATCATAAAGCAGCATTGGAAAGAGTTGAGAATGATTTGAATTATAAGATTAATAAACTTGAGAAAACTTTGGATTCTGAAAGAAGTGAGTTAGATTCTGAAAGAAGTGAGTTAAATGATGAAATTAGAAGTTCAAACAAGATAAAACAAGATTTAGTCAATAAACTTCATAAAGCAGAGTCTGAACTGAATGCTGTAAGGAATTTTCCAAAAAAGAAAACTAAAGAGACTGAAGAGCTTACAGAGAAACTTTATGAAACTTAAAAGAAAGTTATTAATGAAAGGAAGTTATTGAAAAAACAAAAAGAAAAGGTTTTAGAAGCGGAAAATGATATGAATGTTGAGAGGAAGAAACTTGAGAAAGAGAAGAAGAGAGTAATTGAACTAGAAAGAAAATTTGGAACTGAACGTGTATCTTACGAGAAAAGGATTAACTCTCTAGAGCTAAATGCAAAAATGCTTTTAAAGCAAATCTCATATTTTGAGCAGCTGATCATCTTGGAACGAGCCAAGAATGATAAAGAAAAGAAAGATATCTCTGAAGACTGTCAGAGTCAATTACAAAAATTATCTAAAAGCATTGATCTAAAGCAGAAGGCTTTAGACGAAGAGAAAAAGCAATTTGCCCTTGAGAAAAGAAATACTTCAAATAAGTATATAGCAATTGCTAAAGAGCTTGCAAATAAGAAAAAGTGGCTTGACATCGCTTCGGAGAATGAAAAGAGTAGCTCAGATGAAGAGAAACGAGAGTTAATAAATCAGAAGAGAAAGTTTGAAATGCTACAGAAGGAGTTAGAAGGTAAACTCTTGGACACTACAAGCAAATTGTCTGATCTAAAGACAGACCTTGAAACTGAGATGAAGATGAGAATTGCACTTAAATTAAATTTGATTTAGTTACTGCTAAAAGAGACCAGCTTTTACAAAAAGTCAAAGACTTTTCTTGTGCACAAAGCTCAGTTGGTTCTCCATCACAATGTAAAACTAGCTTTTATGACTGTTCCAAATCGAACAGTTATTCTAGCAGCCCTAAATCTACTGTTTCTAAGAACTATTCTCGTTCTTCTAATCAGTATTATCAAGGGTATGTCATTGGATCACCCAATTATTCTTCTAAAATTAAAAGCATTTGGGTTAGTAAATCTGAATCTGTTTCAACTCGTACTCTTGTTACTACTAATAATCTTCCTTATTTTGTGAGATCCAATTCTGACTTGATAAATCTTAGCAAAAAAAGGATCATGTGCTCCAGATGTAAATCAACAGATTTTGTGAACAAGAAGATATATAACAGATGGAGTACAAACAACAGATATCAGAACAGTTCGAAAGGTAAGAACAGGTATGATCACAATTACTGGTACGGATCATATTTTATTCCTGATCATCCTGTTCACAGTGCTAAAAAAATATATCTAATAAGAATAAATGGTTTGGAAGTTACAACATACCCCAACACGATACTAACATAATAGGACCCAAATTCATTTGGGTACCAAAATCTACTTAATCTGGTTTTGCAGGTGTGTCAATTTTGTGTTGATCAGAATATAATTTTAGTGATACACCAATGCAGGGGGAGTTGTAATTTATTCCAAATAAGGCTTCTAAACACTCAGTTTAGAACTCGTGCTTAAAATATTTCTTTTTTAATTTTTGAGCTTAACTGAAACATTTCTGAAATCTACTTTCTAAGGGGAGTCTCTAGAAAGTTCAATAAATATTTTTGGAAAGTGAATATTTTTTTGGGAAACGAGTACTTTTTCAGAATAGGTATTTCCTGATATTTTACTTGTGTAATTTCTCATCGTACATAACTCCAATACCTGTTTCAGCTATTTTTCAAACTATTATTATCACGTCACTTATAAGAAAATCATTTTCGGTGATAATACACTCGTTTGTATTCAAAGTTTGTTTTCTGATATTTTTTTTTACTTTGATTGATATACATTCTGATATTTTTTTTACTTTGATTGATATACTTTTTATAATTCTTTGAATATTCAGAATCTGTAAACTTGTTCTTACAAATCTTCATTCATTTCTCTCGCATTCTGAATAATCTGATCGTTGTCACATCATTCTTTTGTTAATTGTGCTTAAAGCTAAATTTTTTATCAATTGTATCTGATCTTTGTGCTTTATATGCAATATTATTTTTGATCAACTCTTGTGATTAAATGTGCATAACTATAAATTTTTAGGAGGGACTGAGTGCTTATCAGAAATATCTCAATGGAATGTCAGAACCGACAAACCTACCCATGAGGACAACCATATCTGAGTGAGCTTTAAATCAAAAAGGGTTTGYGTGCCGAKAYTAAAA